TATCTTTTTAATAGTTATTTTGAACATATTTTGGTCATAATTATCTATTCTTTTTTAATTTCTTAACAGTTTTTAAAATGTGTAATACCTGTAAAACTTGATTGCCGTTACAAACCGAGTTTCGCGAGGGTTATTGCGTAATACGTATTTCTAGTAAAATGTGTAATACCTGTAAACTAGCTAGTGAGTTTTCTCAATGAAATAGTAGACTGCGAGCAGTCTCTTATTTTTCTTTGCAAAGTTACTGCTATATATAAAAACGCGAGCGGCGTTGCCTGTGCGGTGCAGACGTCTCCTATTTCACGCAGGCAAGAGCGGCGAAGCCCGAGAAGTAAAAATAAGAGACTGCTGACTCTTTTGTTCTGTCTGGAGACAACGAAGCTGTCACGGTAATTTAATTAATCAATTAAACGCGAGTAACTTGAAACGATTTATAAATAAAACGTAAATAACTGAAAAAATTAAGTAAGATTGCCTTGAATTCGTTTCCCTTGAGGAAATTTACAACACTTTCCTCCTGTAAGATATCCTAAAACTTTTATATTGCTGAGATTCTGCTTGGTTCGCTATTGTTTGCAGTTGCTTGTGACGCGTGACTATTTTTGTTGTTTACAATCTCACCACAGACCAGTCAATGATCTGTCAACAGCTATGCAATTGACCAATCGGTTAGTCCGTTTCTTGGCTGACGGAGGGTTTGTTTACTGCAAAAGAGTCAGCAGTCCGTCTTTTCCCGTCTCGTCTCAATCCCTAAATTTGTAATCGCGCTGGATTAGATAAGAACTAGACGGATTTTAAGAAAAAAGGCGGACTGCAAGCAGTCTACTGAAATAGCTAAGCGTATTTTGCACAATAAAATTAACTTGGACTTGCACTTGGTTCAAGAATTTGAAGTATTTGCTGTCCGATTCACGGCAGTTAGTGAGATCCTGTGTACCAAGGCTGTGACGAGCCTTGTCAGATCGCTAAAGTGTAGTTGCTCATCGTAAGTCCCCCCCGCCCTGCCCCCGCCAAGTAACCAGTTGTAGGTCGCTTAAGTTCCCGAGTTGTTCTCGCACGCGCTAATAGTCCGAAACTTCTGACCGAGTATTCGTGCCAAACTGCTGCTCAAGAATGCGAAAACGTCTTCACATGTTTGATTGACCTGCGTCCCTCAAAGACAACCCCTTTTCCATGTGAAGCTCCCAATCAATGGATTAAAGATCGCTCAGTATTAAACGTTCCAATACAGCCGTCTCTCACACAGTAATTTTTAAGGAGTTATAATAACTCCTCTAGTGGGGTTAATTTAACTTCTTACTGTGGAGTTATTTTAACCCCAAAAAGGAGTTTAAAGAACTCTTTTTCAGTAGTAAAAATGATCCCAGATATTGAGGAGTTAAAATAACCCCCAAATAGGAGTTATCCTGTAGCAGAAGCTCATACCTGAACCTAAAATTTTCACTGCACTTTCAGAGTTAAAGAGTAAAAAAGACCCATGTAAGGAGTAAAAATAAACCCATTTTTGGAGTTATTTAACTCCAGACTGGGACAGGAGCCCATATGGCCTCCTGCCTGGGAGTAAAAAGAACTCTTTTTCAGGAGTAAAAATAACTTCAAATTTGGAGTTAAATCAGGAGTTAAAGTAACCCCATAAAAGGGATTATCTAGTACCTAAACGTTTTACTCCATTTTTGGAGTTATAATAACTCCCTAAGAAATTACTGTGCATCGTGCCTCGACGCTAGGAGAAAAAAAGTCTGATGAATTCTTCGGTAATTGTTGTTTTGGGTCTCATTCTCTAGAAAAGCAAAGTATAAATACCAAATGCATCTAAGAGCAATTTAATTTAATTTTTAGTCCTACCATATTAGTGATCTAGAAAAACGCTTTCAGTTTCAGCACTCTTCTGAAAAATGTAAACAGAAAGTAAAATGTAAGATGGCAGCCATTTTAATCCCTTTGGGTACAAGCAAAACTAAATTTTCCCATCTCCTCCCCCGTGGCACAAAACAGGGACACTTAAATCACCCTTGGGTTTTTTTATATGTGACAACGTTAAGCAAAGATTAGAGCAACTGACATGAGCTCTACAACTGTGAAACATGCCGAACGTGGCGCTGCCTGGGACCGGTCCGTCACAGTTACGAGATGTGGAACATGTTGCCTGCAGTTGTTTTATGTTTATTGGTCTAAAATGGAAATGATAATTAAATATTTTGCTTCTTTTGGTACAGTTTCGCACGACTTTTACACACACATAAAAAAAAAAAATCGCAGTTTTGCCCCAAAATGGAATGTTACTAATTATGACATATTATAACAGTGACTGTCGAAGTTCACCAATTCAAGTTTTCTGTCTGGAAAAAAATGAACAGCTACTCAAATCTTATTGGGGATTGCATTTCCTTTCCCTTGCATGACTGAGGGCAAAATTAGGCTAGTCTACGTACTCATGAGACTTTACATACTCGAAAAAGGCGTTGTGTGGGGCTTAGGGGAGGACCAGTTGACTTTGTTTGGTGTGTTACGCAAAAAAGGCAGCTAATGTACTATTTTCACTTCTAAACAATTTTATACCTTAAACCGAGAAACAAAAGAAAACGAGAGAGAGAGCACGAATTCACTTATTAAACTTTTTCCTATTCAGACCAGGGAGGCGTTTAGATCCCCCCACGCTAAAAAGCTAAATAACTTCAAAACCGTTTTAGCCATGACCACTATGAAGTTTAAAGCAGTTAGTGTATCCCAGACTTTTTCGTAACTGATTTGAGAAAAAAAAAAAGTTAAAATGACCAATTGGCAGAAGTTGGGTTCAAATCTTATCAGTGTTAATTTCTCTCGGAATTTTGCAAATTGAGGACTTTTTTCTTCCGTTTTTCTTTTCTTTTCTTTTTTTTTTTTTTGGCTTCCTAAGCATCGTTTTATATAGATTTTTTTTCTATCACGATTTTCTATATTGTACGGGTTTTTAACGTGAAATTGAACACGTTCAAATAATTCAAAATGGCGGATCCAAGATGGCAGATTGTTTAAGATCCTTTGATAATAATAAATGACGTCATCCTTAAATCATCGCTATTCAGTGATTAAAGATGATTTCTATGTCAGCTAGTCTGCTACACAGCCGTTTTTAGTGTCGTCACGCAACGCTCCTGACGACACTAAAAGCGGCTGTGTAGCAGACTATATGTCAGCCAACTTCTTGATTTTGTAAGACACCTAACCATTTGTAAAGCATTTTTCGGTTGAGAAGAAAAAATGATGAAATTTGGATTCTGCCAATAAATTCAAGTATATGACGTACTTGTGACGTAAACTTACGTCATTGCGTCAATCAAATAAGGCATAGATACTGGAAATAGTGGGTACAATATTCTGTGTAATTTTGGTGGCCGTATCATGAGCGGTTTTGAAGTATGTAGCCCCCCATCCCCCTACCGGTCACAGGAAGCCATAATAGCCCTGTCTGAATAGAGTAAAAGTACATTTAATTTCATTTTTAATTCGAATGATGACATTTGACATTTGTTGCCCTTGCGACGAGTAATGTCCTTCTGAAAAAAATCGTTTTCCTGTGACGAGTGTTGTCCTTGAGACGATGGGCGTACTAATGTCAATCAAAAACTAAAAGCCAGATATTACAAATTGATTGTTTATAAGGCTGAATCCGTTCCCCGATTTGTAGCTATTTGAGTCTTTTTTCCAAGAGGAATTTGAAACAATTTTCTTAACAGTTCAGACTCAGCAATTCAAGCCATTTCTGAGCACTAAGGACGACCGGCCAGTTTTGTTGTTCTTGTTGTTGTTGTTGTTGTTGTTGTTGTTGTTCATGCTTTTCTGTGTTGCGAAACAATATGGAAATATATCTATAAGAAAAGCCACAAAACCCAGTGCTGATATAAGTCTAGAAAATATTGAATTTTCGGTAAGTTTCTATGGATGTCGCATTCTTCAAATTTTACGGTTAAACATCCTTGATACTGCCTCGCACTCAGACGTCTCTCTCTCGATGAACATGTTCGCGCAAAGGAAGGCGGGAAGGAGACAACGGGCGAGACGGCGCTTCGCCTGCCGTCTGTACTCCTCCATTGGACCCTTGCGGTTCATCACCAGTCGCTCGCCTCTACCTTGCGAAAAACGAAGCGCCTGAGGAGAAGGCTGTCCTTGATAAGCCCCGCCTCAAGGACATGAACTAGTATCGAAAGTTAACCGATTAGCAATCTCATGATCTAGAATTGAAACCAAAATATAAAAACTTCCTCCTCCTGTTTAGTCAATTGGTATTTCTTAGATCTCAGGATGACGGACGTTTTAAGCAACCGTAGTGTACTTTTAACCACCGTAGAGGTCTTCTCCATCATAATTTTCAACTTTCTGTCGTTAACGGGGAACATAATGGTGTGCATTGCAGTCTACAAGAACACACGACTACGCACAACCACCAATCTGTATATCATCGCACTTGCTGTAAGTGATTTGATGTCCGGTGTATTTGTCATGCCTTTTGCAGCGGGTGTGCTTATCAAAGGGGAATGGGTTTATGGCCCAGTGATCTGCGACTTTCAAGCGTACATTGCTTTGTTTGTGGTGTACATTTCACCCGTCACTATGGGTTTAACAGCATTTAACAGATATATGAGGATTTGTAAGTCGGAGCAGCAATACAAGAGAATCTTTTTACCGTGGAAGTCACGAGCATTATTGGCCTTTGCATGGATCCTCGTTGCTTGCTACATCCCTGTTCCAAAGTTAACAGGTCTTCAAGACTATGTGTTTGTCCCAGGATATGCCCTGTGCGCTCCGGCTCATCTCAATCAAACTGGAAAAAGAGTCCACTTCGCCATTGTCCTCTGTTTTTTCCTTTTAACTCCTTTATTGACTACAATATTCAGCTACATAAAGGTTGCAAAGATGATCCGACAGCACAATGCCGCTATGTCATCTACGATTCACAGGGCTGCGACAGGCTCAAGCATCAACGTGCAAGAGCTCAGGCTGAGTAAGGCACTATTTGTGGTCGTGTTCGCGTTCATGATATGCTGGATCCCATTTTGGGTTGTTGTTGTTTTAAGGGGCTTCAATGTCGTCACGTCGATGCCTCGGAACATTAAACTCCTGTCCAATTTCTGCATATATTTATCCCATACAATAAATCCTTTCATATACGCAGGGATGAATCGCACTTTCAGAAGCGAATTCCGAAAAATGCTATGCTGTCAACGAAGGCTCTTCAGTTGCAAACACTCACAGAATTGTGAATCAAATACCGGATCGGGAGAAGGCAAAGAGGGGTCGAAATGTACAGCAGAAATTCTTCTCGATACTACAGCAGCTTCTACCAGGTCAGAGGTGGATGAGCCTTCGTGAAGTACGTACAGTCTGTTGTAATTAAATTGAGAAAGAGATAGATCAGTGCCCATAGGAGAATTCCGTTTATACTGAATACTATGCTGTGAACGAAGGCGCAATCCAGTGGGTGTATGTGAAATCGAAAATTTCTTCTATTTTAATTTCCTGTTTTGTCTCAAGTGAAGAAAATTTTTTTATCTATGTTTGCCCGGCGAATGGATACTCAGTTTAACAACTACCGAAAATTCGGGTTAAAAAAGCGTTTGTGTGTGTTTGAATCTTCAGGTTAACTGATCTGTGTTAATTCGATCGGAAGATAAAAGGGGTGTCTGTAAAACGCGGACCGGATACCTGCGGATGGCGGATGCGGATGGGAAAATGCGGATGGAAAAATGCGGATGGAAAAAAAAATTCGGCAAGCAAAAAAAGTAAGAAGAAAAAAACGCGAAATGTGGATGGTACAAAAAAAAATAAACAAACAAACAATTAAGGAAAGAAATCTTTCTTTCAAGTCGCTGTCACATGGTTGAACCCTTCACTTACATACAGAACGTGATGCCAATAGTTGACACAGTTTTGTACCCTGTAATTCCTTTCATTAATGTCACAGAAATAAGGACGCTCAGTTCCTCGTCCTTAAATGCACACATACTTGGTGCACTTCTCCTTTGAGTGTTTAGCCTAAGGTTTGCAGGCAAGGTAAACAGCTCAAAAAGTCGGCTTATTTTGCACTGGCCCCGTTTAATATTCTTCTCTTTACCAAATAACGAGCCAGTGGTCCCCGCAATCACGGGTCAGAATGCAGAATGTTACCATACCAGCATCCTAAAGCGGTGTAATTCACGAAGCAGTCTGTCTTTTCTTTCGCAATTCTGGAGTGATCGCTATTTTTTTTTTTAACATTTACTTTATTACGAATTTCATTGTTATCACGCTAAGAAGGGTAGGCATGATTTCTTTGCTCTCACTGGATATAGTGTACTCAACTTACAGAGAGAATATTCTCGGGGCAATCAATTCAAGACTTATTTGTTTGAGCGGCTCAAGACAGAAAAAATTGCAGGATCAACTAGAAAAAAGGCCGAACGTTCCGATTTGGCAGATGCCAATCAACTCCGCCTGATCTGCCTATCATGTGGATTTATTTTTTACCAGTTCTACCCTTTGGGAATTTATAAGTGCACGAATAATGAGTTCGAATTTTTAAAATTGCAAATTATACTGCAGATTGAAAGAAAAAAACAGACTTCTTGATCAATCGCAAGAATTATTTCCCGACAAGGTGTAAAAATAATCTGCAAAATTAAACTCCCGCAAAAAAGTGTCGCTTGGAAACGCATTAATAAAGGCTACTTTCTGTTTCATTTGCTTTTGTTTCGAATTTTTCTGCCAGCAAAATAGTTTCGAAAACATATCCTCAGTGAGTTTTTAGAACGTCTGTATCGAGCAACTTAAAAATCGTTTTTAAAAGCGTGAAGGGCAGAATTCGGAATCGAAAATAATTTATATAATATTCGAATTATTTGGCCCGCTCCCGTCTATCTGCGAAGCAGCAACCAAACTTATTTTTTTCTACATGGAAAGATGTTTAATTATTACAAATCAGAAAAAAAACCAAGCTGCTTCTTAAGAAGACTATATAAATTTTTTAGCTTTCTCTACACCAGATCAGCATTTTTTATATGTTGATGGAAGCTTTTCGTAAAACTGTGAAAATGGAACGAAGGCCAGAAAAAATGACTCTGTTGAGGGTGCGGCATATTGCTGGAAAATGAATTTCTGTAGAAAAACCCTCATTAAACAAGACCGATTCACACAAAACCGAGAGGAAATTGTGTAACAGAAGACAACTAGTGTAACAGTAGCTTAGCTTTTGATCTCAAAAACGGGCTTCTGCAGGTGTCTGCAGTTCACAATCACTCTCGGAACTGTCTGCTATGGCAGAGTCGACCAGAGTCAAGGCAGAGCGAAAGTTGATTTGTATTATGAGCCCATTTGAAGATCAAGCTCCTTTGTGAGGAAACATGGCGATTTAGCGGAGGCAAGCGTGAAATAGGCGACACAAAGCACGCCGATTTTTTCACGTAGCTCACCCTATTTTTTGGTTTAGTTTGTTTTCTCTAATTTTCTTTTAATTTGAGGAAATTTAGTCCTTTTTTGTTGTTGTTGTCCGAACGTTATATACGTTTTCTTTTGTTAAGAAATGTTTTAGTGACACAATTTATAAATCCAAATTTGTGTTTTTTTGTTTTTGTTATTGTTCAAATTTTTTTCTATCCTCATTTTCCCGTCCGCATCCGCCATCCTCAGGTATCCGGTCCTCGTTTTGCAGACACCTCCTTTGCTAGCCGATTTTTTGAGCTGTTTACCTTGCCTACAAGCCTTAAGCTAAACACTCAATGGACAAGTGCACCAAGTATGTGTGCATTTAAGGAGGAGGAACGGAGAGTCCTTATTTCTGTGACATTAATGAAAGGAATTACAGGGTACAAAACTGTGTCAACTATTGGCATCACGTCCTATACGTAAGTGAAGGGTCCAACCATTTGACAGCGATTTGAAAGAAACATTTCTTTCCTTTGTTTGTTTGTTTATTTATTTTTTTTGCCATCCGCATTTCTCGTTTTTTCCTTCTTAATTTTTTTGTTATCCGCATTTTTCCATCCGCATTTTCCCATCCGCATCCGCCATCCGCAGGTATACGGTCCGCGTTTTACAGACACCCAGATAAAAGAGCTGTCACTCGGTGTTAAAATGAAAGTCTCGTATTATGTCTCTGGATCAAGGTAACAGAGTTTTGCTCGAACGTTTTCATTTCTTCCTGCTTTTCAATGGCGAATAAATCACAACCGTCTGGGGAGAAATCATATAAATTTTGGGCTTTGTGGGTTTTTTTATATTCATCCGCATATATTCTCATTTCAGCTTCCGCTTATCTATTTGTAGATTTCTTCAGCAATTTCACATAATTGTTTCACATGTTCCTTCCGGCTTGATGCATCTGAACGAGTCTGAACGTTATTCCTCGACAATAACTTTCCTGCAAATTATTCAAATGAAGTTGTACTTTCGCACATGTGCCCGAAGTAACCACGTGCAATTAATCAAATGAATATTCAAGTAGTTTCTCTGAAATTTCAGTTCCTTTCATAATCGACCATAATCAGAACTTCCATGTTTCAATTTGCTTATGGAAGGAAGTTTTTCCATTCACGCAAATGTTGTCTTAGTTTCCCTTCAAGGTTTTTTAAACTGTCGCTCAAGTAGCTTTTGCAATGTAAACTAATACATGAACGGATTTTGGTAAAACACGGCATTGTTTCTGCAAGTGGTTTGCGTGCCGCACAGATGTACTTTTCACAGCAGACATCTTTAAAGGCGAGTAGTGTACAATGTACTATGTAAGAAAGTACCTTGTAATGATTAGTTGGTTATGCTTTAGTCCTCGTTTGTGAGCAAGATTATAGATTGTACACCATGGAAAAACTAAAAACTATGGAATTCTACACCCGATTCATATAGAACTATACGATCTTTCAAGGCTTTTAAAAATGGTATTAGAAAACTGGACCTGTCAGTTTTACTATAATAAACTACTACTAGTACTACTACTGAATATTAAAAAGTCAAACTATGTAATTTTTCGTCCATACCAAAAAAAACTCAACTATGATCCCCAGGTCAATATTTTTGACAATGAAAGCAATAAAAAGGTTACCCTTGAACGCAAAAACTTTATTAAATATCTTGGACTGTTAATTGATGAAAATCTATCTTGGAAGACCCATATTCACTCTGTTGCAAATAAAATAAGTAAAACAATTGGGCTAATTGCGAGATTAAGACATATTGTTCCCACTTGCACCCTCTTAAATATTTATCAGTCACTTATTACACCTTATCTAACTTATGGTCTTATCTCTTGGGGCAACGCGTGTAAAACTTTCCTTGACCAAATTCTTGTCCTTCAAAAACGCGCACTGCGTTTAATATATTTTGCTGAAACAAACGACCACGTAATACCTTTTTTTGTCAATGCAAAAATTCTACCTTTACAGTCTCTATATTATGAATCCGTTTGCAGTCTTATGTATGATGTAAATAAAAACACTGCTCCGGTTAATATTTCGAAACTCTTCTCTCGAATTTCTAGTGTTCACACTTACAACACACGTGCCTCAACTTCTGAACATTTTTATACTAAAGAATCTCGACTCAATGTCAAACGAAATGCTTTTTCGCGTGTTGGGGTCAAAATTTGGAATGGGATACCTCAAATTCTTAAAGAAAGACCGAAAAAAGCTTTTAAAAGATCACTAAAAGAAATGCTACTCGATTTCCTTGAAACTAATGACTCCTATATTGATGTGGATACGATCATCGTGAAAATGAAAAAGTAATTCTCTTGTCCTTTATTTTCATTTTATTTTATTTCTAAAATTTCACTTTAATTATTGTCCTTGCATTTAAGTAGAACGTATCTATTTTATGTAAAATGTATATACTTATATAACGCCTAATTTCTTTGTATTTGCCTAGTTTGTTGTAAATTATGTAGCCTGGCCTGCCTCGAATAGCCTTGCTAACTGCAGGCCTGTCCCAATGTATCTTTTGCTATATTTTCAAATTTAAATAAAGTTGAAGTTAAAGTTGAAGTTACTACCAGTCTATCGTACTGTAAATAGTTTTAGCTTAATCTTTAGTTATTTTGTACATATTTTAGTCATAATTATCAATTTTTTTTAAAAAATTTCTTATCGGTTTAATGTGTGACTCCCTAGCTAGTGAGTTTTCTCACTGAAATAGCTAAGCGTATTTTACACAATAAACCTAACTTGGACTTGCACTTGGTTCAAGAAGTTGAA